TTTATAAAATTTATATAATGCATGTATTAACTTATATTTGTTGTATTCACTTTAGAAAATCATAATACAAAGATTATTACGTCTATCTTATATATGTATATAAACACATGTATATATGTATATATAAATATGTGAATAATTAATTGTTTTTAGCCTCGGTTCCAAATAAAAAACAATAATAATAATTATGATTTAAATGAAAAATAACCAAACCACATAAACAACTTGAGCGAACGTTTTATATATATATCGATAGTGACTTTGCAACCCAGATACAACAAATATGATTATTTTTATTATATGATTCGAAAGCTCACAAACAAAGCGCAAATCACTTCAAAATACAGCTGCTATAGAACCTATAGAATGAGAGTTATATCTAGAAATGTGTTCCAAAATAAATTGTTCACAATTATTGCGTATATATGTATTTATGTACATTGTATATAAAGGTTATTCCCATAAGCCTCATTTTTTAATTTATGACAAATACAATGCAAATTGTACTAAAAATATCTAATCGATAAGTGAACAATAAACATTTTTGTTGAACGCAGCTGTAGCTGTTTTATTTGCTACTGTTTCATTTGAATTTTATCTAATTGTCGCGTTAATTCCTTTGCTTGATTTGAGAATTGAGCTGTTTGCGCTACTCATTGACAGGCAACTAATTTGAGGTATTTGGGACAACACAAATACAATAGAGTTACTTTCAGTGCTTTATGTAAGAATCGAATAAAATTTAAGCTGCGTATAGCTAAACAAAATTATAATAGGTCAACGTTTTGTGTATTATAAGATGTGAATTTGTCAAACCAATATATGCAGCAAGTAAATATCTTAAAAATCACAATTTTTAAATATTTATTAAACTTGTTATTTTGAACACAATTGTGTATTGAATATAATACACTTTCAATTTAACTCAATTAGTGGTTTATTATTATTATTTAAAATTTTATTTTCATGACTCAACGATTTTGTATTATTTTATTATTATATCACTTTTTTCTACTTTCAATTGATATGTGTTTCTCTTCTGTTTAAAGGCATTTCAATGAACAAAATAGTGTAGATAAAATTAAAGAATTCCAACAGAGCATATATATATATATATATATATATATATATGTACATACGCTCAATTTGAGCTATATATGTAAACACATATACATAGACATATATATATACATATAGATGTATATTTAGAAGTGAAATTTAATTTGGATTTTATCTGACACGTTTTATTAACTAATTTATTTATATATTTTCTTATTTTTCCTATTCTTCAAAATTATTGTTTAAATTGAATTTCGTAATATTTTGTTTGTTAATACTTTTTATACGTGTTCTTCTCGATAGCTGTCGCTGCCTTAAGCAAAGCGCGCGCGCGATTCAATTGCGGCCAGACAACTGACAAGCGGCAACAGATCTACATCCACAAGTCTCCTAAGCCAATTGACTACCCGAGTATTGCTGACGAGCAACAACAATAACAATAACAATCAAACACCTGCGCATGCGAAATCGAAGCAGCAGAGCAAAGCACTTGAAAAGTTTCTCAATGACTGCACACTGGAAACGTGGAGAGAGTAAGAGTATGTGAAAAGAGAGATGACGAACACAATGGAGAGAGAGAGAATGGTGAGCGAGAAACTGTGTGCATGAGTGTCAAAGTGCGAGCAGGAAACACGGCGTATGTGCAATCTGTATAAATTGTTCAATAGAAAAAAAGACAACAAATGTATCTATTAGTGAAATGACATTGCTAAGGGGCAAGACTTCATATTTTAAGTTCATGAAAAGAAACAGAGAGCGAGAATGTACGAAAACAATTAACGATAGTTATAGTTAATTATTGAATAAATGACTCTCACAGACAGATATGAATAAAGTATTTATAAATAATTGACTGCAAGCTTTTGAAAAATAGCTATTTTATTGAGAAATGATATTATGAAAAAAATTTAAAAAAAGCTGATGAAGTCCCCCAAACCCCATCAACACTCCTTTAGCTTATGTCACTCTTTGAAAAATATATGCCAACAAAATAATTATCGTTGATAAATGAAGATTTTTCAAAAATTTAGACAGTTGAGAAGAATTATAGAAAAAGACCTCGAATATACCTAATCTAGTTTTAACACTTTCATATTAAAATATTTCGAATAATGAGGCTGTTGTAATTATTCTTAATTAATGCACCTTATTGTACCGTGTTACTTTAGCAAATTTAATTTAATATAAAGAAATAAAAAAAAACGAAAGGAACAATATATATTTTAGCTTATCATTTAGACTTCTTAATGCAGAACAAGTAAAGCGCAGTAAAATGTATTCATCAATCAAATCGAAAACAGTGGAATATACGAGTGGATATACGATATATCAATTTTACGATGATTATTCACATTATCCAACTAGTTATCTTCAACATTGTTTATTTTTAGAAATCATAAAATTTATTTAACACAAATTTAAGAAAAACCCGAAAACATCCCCTAAAAGTGGTCAAAAAATCTTAAATAATAATATAAACTTAGTCAGCCAAGAATAGTGAAAACCAGGGAAAAAGTAGGTTAATTGGAACATAAAGTCACATACAAATGACATAGATAGAAATTAATATGCAACCATATGCAAGAATAGATTAGGTCAACAGTATGTCAATAATCAAATTATTAAGTTTCCAGCTACGAAAATTAAGGAGTTAATGATGTTTCCGATTAGAAAATCACCCTATGAGTCTCGATATGTGTTATAAAACTCTACAGTAACGTAATTGCCGATTTTTGGGGCAAAGACTTCAAAACTATGGAAATAAGTGGTATTTGTGACGACCCAAAAATAGAGAATTTCAACAATATCTCAAAATCAAAATTTTAAGTTTGTAGCTTTAAGCCTTGAGAATATATAGAGTTTTTCGGTTTGCCACGCTTATATGGGCGTAGATACATAATATATATATTGTTAGATTTAGGTTGTATCCACGAGCATACATTCGGAGATTCAACTATCAAACCCCAATAGTGTTCAAAATATAACATAATTTGTATAATACACTATACTTTCAGATTTGATTTGCCACGCTCTTAGTAGACAATAACAAAAAATCTTAACACTTCATAAGATGAGGAGATTCAAAATATGGGAGTTAAGTTTCTGCCGTCGCCTTATTAAGATTCAGCAAAAAGGATTTAACAGTTTTTGTACCGCATTACGCCTAACGCAGTCGGTAGCGCCGGATTCAAACATTCTTACTTTTTATACCCTGATCCCATTAAAAATGGGAAATCAGGGTATAATGGTTTTGTGCAAATGTATGTAACAGGCAGAAGGCGGCATGGCAGACCCCATAAAGTATATATATTCTTGATCAGCCGAGTCGATTGAGCCCTGTCCGTCTGTCTGTCTGTCTGTCCGTATGTGTGAACGCGTGGATCTTAGCATCTATAAGAGCTAGAGACTTGAAATTTTTTTTGTAGGTCCGTGTATAGCACGCGCAGGTCAAGTTTGTTTCAAATATTCGATAACTATTCGCATTTAATTGTTATCGAATAAAAACATTATTAAAATGCAGTAAATAAATTATATCTCGAACGTCTTAAGAGCTAGAGCCTCCAAATTTTGTATTTAGTCTTATGTATATTTTATGAAATTTTGATTTTTGTTGGATTTTGGATACCGGCTCCAAATTCCCCCAAATTCGTAGAATTTAAGTTTAGTTGGAACTATGTCAAGGCGTTTGCATCTCAACCAAGCCAATAGGATATGTAGATCATATGCTGAAAATTTCATTAAAATCCATTAAGTAAAACAGAAGTTATTAAACAAAACGTTTGGCCAATTTGCAAAAGCACATGTCAGCAGCGCCACGCGCACCCATTTTTCCTATTCTTTTCTATTCCAAGAATTGAAATTGCGATTGAATTGGCTGAATTATTAGCTGCTACTTATGTTCAAATTTGCAACAGCTTGCGTAAAGAGGGAAGTGGCTGCGTTGGTAGAGGCGCCGTTCGTATGCAGCTTGGTCCGGGTTTGAGACCAGTGGAGATGAAAGGTTTTTTATTGATTTATTTTTTTTTTAGTTATGAAGTGGCGGTGTTGATAGAGTTTGTGCACGTTGCGCAAAAGATCCGGGTTCGAAACCTGGTCTCGCAATGTCGATTTTTATTTGTTTTCTTTTTTTTTTAATACTCGATACAAACTACGGAAAATATTAAAACTCAAAGGACTGGGATCAGGGTATCTCCTAGTCGGGCACCCCGATTAGAGCTTTCTTACTTGTTTAATATTATAATGGGCGCTGATTCCAGAAATTGATTTGATCGCTAAATATATAAATAATAAATATATATATCTATACATATTTATATATATATATATATACGTATATATATACATATATATATATATATATATATATGTATTTATATATATAAGTTATATACATATATAATCTGATAGATTAGTTACTTAAATCTAGTATCTGTTATGCAAAACAAGGAATGGCTTTTTCTAATTTCAGTTTGACATTCCTACAATGTTTTTGTCAAGCAAAATATTGTTAAACTCAGCAAATGCTTAATTTATTTGCGGTTCAGGCTCTCTCTCTTTTACAATTTTCCAATATTTTAGTCTCTTATGTTCTCATGTTTCATGCTCGAATGATGATTGACAATTGTTTGCATGACTTTGTGTAATATAATCACAATCTCATTAATCAGACACGGTAATGACTTTCGCAGTAACAACTAGATAAGTAGAAGTACTTATAAAATTAAGTTAAGGTTTTAAATTGTTTCTTTCCAAAGTAAATTAAAAAGAGTCTCCTTTAAGATCTTTGCAATGCATTTAACTTGCTCTCAAAATTAGGAAATTTATTTCCAAGTTTTTTAAACATTTTTATACCGCTGTACATGTCGGGGAGGAGGGCAACCCACAAATTACGTAACCACATAGTAAAAAGAACTTAAGGGAAAATTGAAAGCAAAACTTACCTCTTCAACAGTGTCGCATTCGAATAAATAGATGTGCAGTAACGGATCTTTGGGATCCTTTAATAAGTAGACCAGCCCGGTGATGGGTCCTTGGAATTCCATAAAGTTCTGCTGCTCAGCATCTGCAGCTTGCAGCTGCTGCTGTTGCTGCATCTGATAAACGGCCGCAGTGCTGGACGAGAGCGAGCCGTAGGAAGTTGATGTGGTTAACGATGTACGCGAACCATTTTCGGCCAATGAGCCTGCAACAACAGCTGACACGCTTCCAGATGTGAAAGTTGAGGTTGCGCCAGAAGTTCCACCATTGCCAGCTGCGGCCTGGACAACGTTCGATTTAAGCTGAACGAAACAATTGCCGATGTTTTTCGCCTGCGGCTTGTGAATGACGCGACACATGCCAACGATATGCTTTAATGGATGGCCAAATTGTAGCTCAAAGTCCGAGTTATACGCTTCCAGTATGCCATGCTCAATACCAACTGAAAGCTGCAAAGACATTTTATTGATAAGCATAACAGACACAATAGAAACTTAATGAAATAGTTCGAGGAGAACTTTATCTCAAATATATTTTGGGTTTTGACCTCAGTCGACATCAGTCGATGCGCTTGGGAAAACATTCATTCACGGTCAAAACGTTGCTCGTCCAAAAATTTTGGAAGATCTAGTTTTTCCCGAATTGCACCATATATATAAATATATATTTTTACAAATTAATAGAGAAGGTAAACACTAACTTAATCGTTAAATTAGGTGAGTTAGTTTTAAAAACAAGAGACTGTTCGACTAGAAGATATCTTAAACCCTGCAAAGAGCTCATATTCCAATCATTCTACGCCCATTTTATACACACATTTATATATGTGACGCTGCTTGCCACTGTCCAAACGTTTTGCTTTATAACTTCTGTGTGACTTACCGGATTTCAATGATGTGAATTTTAGCACATCATCTTTATATTTTATTGAATATTTGTCAATTTAGAAAAATCCAAAATCTTTTTTATAATGAATATGTTTAATTAAAATTCAATTCAACGAATTTGGGGAAAATCAAAAATTTATAAAATATACATCATAGTATATGCCTTTGGAAGCTCCAAAGACTTACGAGATTTAATTTTAGCAAAGAATTTCAATAACGCTTTTATTTATTATTATTTATAGTTTTCGAATATCTGAAACAAACTTGCTTTATAGGGAGCTTTAATAAATAATAAGTTTCTAGCTATTATAGGTTCTGAGATCAGATCGACACGTTCATACTTATGGACGAATAGGCAGACAAACGGGTATGGCTAAATTAACACAGCTCGTCATCCTGATTAATAATATATATATTTTAAATTGTGTGAATATGTGTCTTACTGTCTGCTTTAATTAACTTAACTTGAGAATGTATAAGATATAAGGAAGAGTAGAAATTAGTGAATCTTGAATGTATATTTAAAATTGTATCATCTACGTATGATACAATTAACAAACAATGTAATTGTAAAGTTTTCAATGATTATACTTTGAGTTGAAATGTTAGATTGGACTGAAGGAGACCTCGTCTTGTTAAGTCTTGTTATCACACAATATTTTTCACTGATATACCAAATATAAAATTTTACAACAGTATTCCAGCCTGAATATCATCGATATTTTAAGATATTTCTCTACTCCCAGTTTTGCTATATAGGCATTTCACAAAGAATCTATAAGTACAATACTTTTGTGAAACGGCTGTAACTTACAGAACGATGCGTGCCAAACACAAAAGTATACATTCTTGATCACCAACGAGCTGAGTCGATCTAGACATATCCGTACTTCCCTGTCAAGAGGTTATCATTTTCTTACGATAACTCATCCTAAGTAATCGGTGTTGGTAGATTTGATGCGAGTAATTTTTGTATTTATAAAAAATTATATAATTTATTAATCTGCGACAACTATCTAAACACCTAATTTTTACCTTTATTACAATTGTCACGTTTGACGAACAACTGTCAAGAACATTGATAAAATATTGATTTTAAAGATTGATGAATTTCAAATGCTATTTAATTTTTAAAACAATTAGCTGGGTGCGAAAGCTATCATTTTTGCAACGAAAAGTGAGCTAAGGGCACTACTGTGTAACGTTACGCATACTTCGCGTTAGTCTGCAGAGAGTCACTGACGATGGTGAAGTATAAAACAGACACTCGACCCAGAGAGATGAAACAGAGCATGGTGATGCAGCACAAGTGACGAATCGACCTAAAGCGGATGAGCAGTGCAACTAGAGTGACTTTTGTCGCGCATAAAAAAAAAAAACAAAGCAAGAAATCCAAGAAGAAAAAACAGAAAATAAAATAAAATACACAATATAAAGTCTATTTTGCAGGCAAGCGAAACAAGCAAATTATTGATTTTTTTGCACGTTCAAAGCAACTTCCTGACTGCGTACAACGGAAAGCGGCTCACAAAGCAACTCAGAGTAAGTTCTTCGATAAGTAAGAGGTTGTGTAAAAGGGATAGAATTAGGGGTTGCATTAACTACCTGAAACAGTGTTTGCATAACAAAGGGTTCTGACAAAGGGCTAAAGAATCGAATGAAGATCTAACAAGTTCGTTTAAGATGTTAGATCATTAGTTATACTTTAAGCACAATATTATTTTATATATAAAATATGATTTATGTATGAATATATAATTCGTTAAATTATTTTATTTAACCAAACATAAATCCGTACCCAATGGATCCTTAATATAGAAATGTAATAAGCAAATAAATAGCTTCGTAGATAGATAGATGATTTATATATCACTAAAAGCCATTATATACATATACCTCGTGCATATCAATAAATCAATTCTAATCGAGGTTCCATTAAGAGATAACCTGAACCATGCGCAGAACTACTATTTCAAACATTATACACTTCTTTTATAGCCAAAAAATGACACACGCATTTACGTACTGCGCAGTTTATACAGTTGCTTAAATTAGGAATTGAAAACTGAAAACTTTTGTTGTCAATGAAATTTTTCATACTGTAACAATGATTTTCAAATGGATGTATGTGTCAAAGTTTCTACTATTTGAAATAAATTATTTGATAAATTTAAGGGTAATAGGGATGCTATCAAAAGCCGAATCGTATTCGAAATCTTTTTAAGTCTCGTGTTCAAATGACCTGAAAGTTATGTTAAAAAAAAACAACATTTATTTCACTTATAAAATAATTAATTTCCTTTAAAGCACTAAAATTTCAAATCGACGGCATCATACTTCAACACGAACCAAAGAGCTTTTTCAATAATTAATATTTGTGCTCTTGTCTTATCCCAATGAACAGACCCAATAATTTATCGTTATATTTGTAGATGAGATCAACAGAGGCATCAACCTGCAAAATTGAGAAAGATATGGGTGTCTTGCGATCTTCTTACAAAAGGTGCAACAGTAACTTAGCTGTCAACTTTGAGTGTTTCACACTCAAAATCTGAGCAATATATAGGTTTTTCAGGTTACCCACACTTCCAAGAGGCGTATATGAATATATTTTGCTGAGTAATTAGAGGAAGTCAACAGTAAGACAGTTGTTATATTTTGAGTTTCAATCTGTAAATATATCTCTAATTATCCTTAATATCTATATTTTTAATTTTTACCGAAAGTTTTCTACTCGAGTATTACTAAAATATTAATAAGAATTAAACAGCTGTACCAATTTTGTATTGTATATTATATATTTATTAATATAAATTAAACATTTTAGAATCAAGTTAAAGTTTATTCCAATCAGATTTATTATAGTTAGTAAGTTTCTTTTTATGCATTTCATCAATCTAAGAAAAGTTTATTAAACATATTTATTTATTTATAGACTGCAATACTCTTGAGCCAAAACGTTAAAGAACTATGTAATCAATTTCAATGCTCAAATTGCTCACCAATATGTAAAGTAAATATTTATTAACTAACAGTTACTTACACACACACAAATTGTATGATTGTGTATTCTTTGTGACAAAACTTTATTTGTTTGGCGATTGGAACGTCGCTAAAGTTGACATAATAATTTGATATTGGGGAGTGAGAGTCTTTTGTTTGTAGGTGGGCTCGCAAAGCTCGCGTCGCATTTGTACGACAGTCTCACAGAAGGCTTGTTATAGTTTCCCTACGCTATTTAACTATTTAACGAAGAGCAAACATGTCAGTTTACCTACTTTTTTACACTGTCTATCTCTATCAATCTAACTTATTTTGTGTGTACATTTGCTAAATATAACAGTAGAGAAAGCTTTAACACTCCATAGATATATGTATAATATAATATAGAATACTAAGCAAAAGATCAAACTTTAGTAATTATGTATACAAGAAAATATGCAGAGTCTAGTTTACCAAATTACAAAACAATAAGGAACAGCAAAAGAGCGAAATTACTTATGCGTGCTAATGAAAAGTATATATTTATTAGGAGACTACAACGTATAATTCATTTTATTTCAAATTATCATTATTGGTATTTTTAAATTATATTATTTGATTAAATTATTATCCAAAAAAAAAATAATTCTAAAGTATTTAATAAATAGACATAATCCAAATTTTTAAAAGCTAGTTCGCTATTATCTAAAAAAAGAGGCCACAATTAATGAAAACTCGCATCATACACAAATCATCATACACAAAGTAACATCATACATCAGGAACATCATACACAAAGTAAATGCAAGAAAATTTAAAGTTGCCATCATTTTCCCCTAAAGGAACCCCAACTAAATGCCATGATCAGGCAAAGTAAAGTTACCATTAATAAAAATTTCAAACAACCAAATAGCCACTCTCTAGGCAGGGTGAAATATCTTCACAGTCTTTAATCAACAATTGCCCGGACGATGGTAGCAAGAGCACGTAAAAAGGATTTATATTAATATTTCGAAAAGGCACCTAACGATACACATGAAACCGAAACTTGGATAAAAGCTCAGGTAAATTGGGCAAGATAATTAATCCTCAAAGACAGTTGCGCCAAGACTTTTACATAGCTTTCAGCCTTCTATGTCCGCAAGTTGTTGAATGGAATTTAATTATGCGATGTTACTCTCTGGAATGGACTATAGCAGACCCTAGAAAAAACCTTGAGCATCGTTAGCTAACACACCCAAACACACACATGCATCTGATGGGCAACTAATTACAAGTTTTGCTAAAATTAATTTCGAGCTTCAAATAATATTAGCCATGGGACACCAAAGCGAGACTGAAATAGCCCATTCTATTTGTGCATAAGTGGAACAGAGATGGCGATAGAGGACAATCGACAGCTTGGCGCTGCACGTGCAGCATGGCCAGCCAGATGATATCTGCATGCATCGATATATAGTATATATATGTACACACATATATATTCAGTTACAACCCTCACATATGGTCCATATATTCTTTATTATTATATTCTTAATCATCAGCTGTTATAGTAAGATAATATATTGTGGCAGTGGATTCGTCTATTTCGGGATAACGTTGTTGTCCGGCTAATTAGCCAAAAGGCTCCTACTGTCACTGTGATTTTCACCTCACTGGCTTGTGGATCTAACAACAACAATTGTTAATCAGTGTAATGGGGCGCAAAATGATTAATACAATTCATACGCCCACTTTTAGCTGCCTGCACGGCTGTCAGGCTGCCTTAATTGGTTTATTGAGCCGTTATAATTACAAATTGCTTTTAATTGTTTTGGGCAATAGCCGTATTATGGATATGGCCAACAGCAATCGGATTAACACGGCAATGCTTGGAGCGTTCACGGGTATACAGCATGAATAACAATACAATATAGAGAGATGGTGGGGCAAGCAATATGATATAGCTTGATGATTTAAGATTCAAGTGAAGGAATAGTGTCAATGCACATGGAAATGTTGGCCAAGTCTGCTAAGCAAAGAAAGAGAATTTAATTTCGGGCTAGCAGCTAATATAAATATGATAGGTTTTAATACTCGTGCACAGTTCCATATAAATAAGCTCTATTAAAGACTGCTCAGCTAAGAGGTGCTTCGAACAGGTGATATTCCAATATTATATTCTTCTTTTATACATACATACAGAGAACACCACATGTACAACAAAATCGTTATCAAAGAATTACGCTAGGACGCGATAGCATCTTGCGGCTCTTTTCTTCGCAGATTCTATTTAAGTATCTCTTCATTCGGTAATCACACAGACAGACTCTCGCTTTTACATCTCCAACTTCAAATCTGCTCGTAGTTATTTTTATTTACAATTCAAATAATATAACGGGAATTGTTACTTATTACTTTAAAACTCAACAGTATTTATTACGGGGACACAATAAATCTGAAGTCTTCGGCATTTATGTTTAAAAATAAAAAAATTGGTTTTTCCTTATCGATAATAAAGAGTAAAAGAATTAGCGGGAAAATGTATAAGCTCATACTAGGTACTGTATAAAGGCATTATATGTGCAATATTTAAGTCATTAGCCTTTGGGGATTGGACGGACAGATGAACATAACGACATCGACCCACTTATCATCTTGATCAAGACATATATGTATATATATGTACTTTAGCGGGTCTACCACGCTATGAGAGCTAATTAACATACATTTTCATAAAACCATTACACTCTGAATCCCTGAATGATTCAGTCATTACTTAACTTACCTTGGTGTGGCTATCTGTTGATCGAATATCGTTGATGGTCCATGGCAGCATGGATGCCGAATAACGCGGATCTACGGACGCACTGCCGCGATACGTCAGCGTAACGAGTCGAGTTTTCATATTAAATATTTTGTATTTATTTTAACTTGACTGAAAGGTATACTGCGTATACTCTTAATAATTTTTAATGTAAAAGTTCAAATTAAATTCAGCACAATTTTCTGTCAATTACATTTCCTTACATTTTCTTTTTTCTCTTTTTTTACAATTCACTTTACGCTCTGTTGGATTTCCGTTCTAAATATCAAAAGAAAAGTTGCAATTCTGAAGACCGACTCCGATCCAACAACTTAGATGTCACATGTTGAAGCTCGAGTTCCAAGCCTTTGGAAGATGCAGTTTCTTATGTTTTTTTACACACCCAAGATGTATCTATTCTAGAATTCTTATGAAATCAATTGAAGGCCAACAGCAACTTAGTCTTAAAAGATCGAGTTTCTAGCCGTAAAACCTTTTCCTGATTTGTTACGCCTACAGTATATGTGGATATAAAATGGTCGAGGTATCCTTAGCGAGTTAATGTATTCTAAGAGTCTACAGTAATGTAACTGCCAATTTTTTGAGCTAAAGCTCCAAAGCTTTGTGTACAGTTTAATTATGATTCACCAAGTATGTAGTACACAGAGGATGTCAACATTAACTCAATTATCGAATTTTCTTGCTCTTAGACCTTAGATAAAGATATTTCTGTTTGTCCTTATCGGAATAGTATACATATAAGTTAATCAATATAATCAAATTTATACAAATCAATATATATTCAGAAAGATACAGTTTTGCACGCCCGCGGTGGGATTACATACATCTACTATGTATTACTGGCCTTGGGCTACCAACGTGAGTATATATTCAAAATATCAAGTCTGATAATATTAGAGTTTCTCTTATACTAGATATAGAATTCCCACATTTGCCGCGCCACTGGCAAGCGTCTCGCGAAAATATTAACACATCCAAATTTCAGTCTCTAGCTTCAATAGCGGTGAATTGGTTCAGATATGGTCAGACGAATGAACGGGCAAAACGGACATTACACAATACCAATATATTATTTCACTTCGTGAATGAGACTAATAAACATTGTCCATTTTAAGCGTCAGTGCTGGGCGCTCAAATGGGTTCTTGCCAAACGTTAAACAGGACATTGACCACCTGACTGTTCTAGTTAATATATATGTACATATATGTATCCAGTGTATATTGGAGGACAAAAGTGCGGCGCATCAGCAGCGAAGTTTATTATCTTTATTGATTTTTCGGCGTGATACCCTGGACCAGAACATTTTCCAGAGGGTATCATAACTTGGTTAACATAAGAATTGCGAGTTCTATCTCAGCTTGAATTGTTAATGAAATATCCTTATTGGTCAGTTATTTGACTGTTCTGAGTTGAGTAATTTCTGAAGTTAATTTCAATGGCATGTTCAATTGTAAGAATAACGTAAAATGTATAAAGCGAGACCATTGTATTAGTCAATAGTTTAAATATTTTTATATAACTGCATAGTACATAAGGGGTCGGAATAAAAGTATCGAAATTTAGATTTTATTTCTATAGAGGTTCTATAAGTTTCGATACTTAAAAATAAAATGCTCATTCGAGTTGTACGTCAAAAGCGGAGCATTGCTTCTTCTTAGGTTCTTTTCCTTTTTTTTTTTTGTGACGCGGCTACCAGAAATAGCAATGTGCTAGCTAGAGGACGAGAGCCACCACCGCAAGTGGCACAGGCAAAAGAGAACCCAGCACTACACATAGTCACCCCTAAAAAGACGCTCGATAGAAATGTTGGAATTTACTTTTGCATAAACATTTATATATAACTTTCCTATGGTTTCACAGTGTGTTTTTTATTTTACTTTATTACACATACGCAAACATGCACACCCCGATGACACGTTTGTTGGTTTCGAGGAATTTACTACAAACTTAATAGTCAGATAACCGATTTGAGACAAGTTCGCCAAATCGCTGCGAAATAACGTCAAGCACTGAATAGAAAACGGCACGAATTACGGCTCCATTACCCCTGTCAGATGGCCATCGAGAATTTGTCTATGCCGATGTATCAGTCGTCCTTTGTCCTGTGCCCTGGGCGCATGCGTTGAAATTTCTGTACGGCGTTGATGATTATAGCCAAACGCGCCCACAATCAATTAAAAGGATTTGTTGTTTGATTTTACAAATACTCATATTGCCTAAGAGAATGCCAAGTCATTTTAAACAAAAGTAACACTTTCGCCCGCCAAACACATTAATACAAATAAATATAAAGATAGCATTCCAAAGCAAGTACTGCGAGATTATTGGCTGACCGCCACAATCTATCGATTGCGGTTACACAGCTGATCACAAAACTCAATCCCATGCATTCGTAGAAATAGTGTAGGAAAACGGCAAATTACTTATCGATTGTTAGCAGCGTTAATTTTTTAAATGAAACGAAATTATTAAATTGTTTTATTAAGAAATTTACGCATTGCAAGCACAAAATCTTTGTCAGCCTTCATAGACACTGTTAACAATTATGTATTACTATGCCACCACTTAAATCGCTGATCAGCGCTGCTGCCAGCACGTCTTCTTCTTTTATTTATACTAGGCTAGTTTTGGCTTGAAAGCCAAGTTTAGTCTGTGCCAATACGCGGTAAGCAACAGGTGTCTTTTTACTGTTGCTTGCAATCTACGTGATTCGTGGATACGTTGTCGGTGTGCAGCAAAAGAGACTTTCACTACAACTCAAATCCCAAAGGTAGCCAAAAGACAGCACTGACTAACTACAACATTAATGAATGCACTTCGTACTTGTTGTCAAAGAGCTGTTTATAACTGTTGCTGCTGGAGCAGCTTGTAAGCTGTGTATTTTTTACTGCTCCTACGTCTCTGTCTGTTTCGCGTTTTTCACATTCACAAGTTTTTAATATTTAAATTCATATATTGTTAATTTCTCACCAACAAACACAATGAGCCGTCTTTTACTTTTTAACTGAGTGTGAGCGTTTGCAAGAAAATGGCTATAAAAAGATACGGAATAACAACAATAAGATGAAAAAAATGGAGACTTGTCAGCGACGGTTTTGAAAAGTGCCGTTAGTGTGCGAATGGAGTAAATTTAATTTAAATAATGAGGAATTTGCGCTCATAATTGATTTGAGTATCGCAACAGAAAACAGCAACTGCAGAAATGTATTTGCATAATTTACTACACATACACACATGTAAATTTGCTGCGCCTTAGTTGCTATTTACAGTGGAAGCAGCAAGTGGCACTTGTTGCTGTTGCTGTTGCTGTGGCTGTTGCTGTTGTTACACAGCCACAGTTGCATGGTTCATTGTGTACTTAAATGGCCAAGTTAGAATCCACATTCCACAAACAGAACAAGCACAACACAATGCATCAAGTAGGAAGTAGCAATGGCAATCGACCGCAGCACCACGAGCTTCAGCAACAAAATAATCTATTAGTTTGTAAGCAAATTTCAAAATAATTGCACATTCTAGACAATTTAGCCTAGGCACGAAGAAGTGGAAAACTACACTGATGTGCATTATTTGTAATTTGTGCAAACTCACACACGCACACACAGAGATAAAGTCAGACAGAGAGAAGAGCGTTTGCGGGAGACGGTCAGTGCCGACTTCGTCTGCATGTAATTTTTCATGCTATGAAATCATCCCCTGCCCCCACACACACATACTCACACACTTAAGCAATCCATTTGGATTTTATTTTAAGCGTTGTTGACATGACTGCTCGATGTTGGCCCACACATATGTTAATATTCATACATGTCAGTATTCTTATTGAACTAGTTAAATCTATAATCGTGCTGACCTTAATTATCATAACAATAGCCAACAAGAAGAGTATACATGCACACAGACACAAATAACCCGCAGCGCCTAGCTCTAAAACTTGCAGCGAGAAAAGAAGAAGAGTGTGGTAGAATGAGGCCCAAAAGCGAAATGGTCACAACATAATTAGAACGAGCGAAAGGCAAGAAAAGAACGCGCGCGCAGTTTAATGTTGCACAGTGGATTTCGCAGCACAAATAACCGAGATAAATACAAGCCAGCAATCGACTAAATTGAGTGGTTAAGCTTAGTAAAAGGCAATGCATAAACTGGTAAATAAAGGAGTTGAAAACGAGCAGAAATAAATAAGTTATTCAACAACTGAAAAAAGAAATTTAAAAAAAAACTTGTTACAAAATTTATTATTTAGACATGTTTTACCTGTTAGAGGTATTGGTCTATAAGTTTCAATGCCGTGAAATAGACTAGTTAAATAGTTAATAGCGCTCACAAATTTCGCAATATTTTTAAAAGTATAAATGCAAACTGTTAATATATTCCCATTGTCATTTAATCAACATATGGAAATCCCATCGAATTCTAAGGTTCCATAGTTAACCGCTTATATTTCTAAAGAATTCATAAGCACACGTTAGTGCCATTCACATACACATATATACACATTGAAACCATCCGAAACACAGACGCATGCTAAGCCTCTGATCTTGCCACATTCCCAATGCCAATGGCAGCTACAATTGTACGACGAGGTGCGGTGCGATGCGTGAGCTACGAACTGTGAGCTGTAGGGTGTCGTGATAGCACCTGCTGTAGAGGTAACCGGCTCGCGTATTAAAAGCCGAACAGGAAGACATAAAAAGACCAAAAAAGAAAAATTAAAAATAAAAAAGAAACAAATTATAGATAAACTCACAAACCGGTTACTGTGAAAATGAAAGAAAAACTGATACTTGCTTATGGCCTATGTGTTTATTTTCGTGACGTTTGGGTTTTGTTTTCCACAGTTTCAGTTTCCAATGAGCATTCGGTTTTCAATGAAATCAAAGCGTAGAAAGTGAATTACAGCTGCTTTGACACTACGCAAAAAGCCGGGCCAAACGAAAAGTGAAAATCGGAGAGTCGCCAAAAAGCTCTGTTAGTTGCATTCGCATCAGTTGGTGCCATTAGCATTAGCAATATCTTCGGGCTCGTCCGGCTGCTGAACACGAAGCACTTCGTGTAGCCGCAGATGCGTCTGTTACTTCAAACAGCAACAGGCGGATCTGCAGCACCTGGTCTGCAGTCCCATTCGCAGTCTCAATATAATTACAGCAGCATGCGTGAGGACGATATCGAGTTGGCCATTAAGGTGGTAAGTTATCCAACACTTCCATACAATCACGCATACATTTAAGAGTGCAACCGTACAGCTACAAATACAGAATGAGTCTATGACTAATCAGCTACATCCGAGTAAGAGAGAATGATACACCCAAAGAAAAGAGACTTAACAGCGTTTTCAAAGACAGCTTAAATTAGTGCATACCAATTATTGACATGTAAATACATATGCATGTATGTAAATAAGATATGAATTAGATAAGATATATAAGAAGGAGTATGCACCTATAGAACTTATATTAGTATAAGAAATGCAGTAAAATATATCAATAGTCTTCCCATCATGCTATATCAAATAATTAGGTACATTTTTAATATATTTTATATTAGAATCAGACATCTATAATATTTATTGATTGATATAACCTTGCAGAGTTCGATTTAAATTACTAAAACAAATAAATGCGTACAATTAATTGAAGACAAAAAATTAAAAATTTTTTAAATATACTTACATAATATAATAGAACAATATACAGAATTTAGTAAATGTAAAATAAACATAAATGTAATATCTCAACAAACATCTTAAGGCTGAGCCGTCAAATGCCTCCTTTACTTTTTATAAAATCATTAAAAATTCTCAAAAGTTAACAAATAAAACGTTCCTATAGATTGAACATTTAACAAACATATATATATATTTTTCAGGTAATCGTTGGCAATGGAGGTGTAGGCAAATCATCAATGATCCAGCGCTACTGTAAAGGCATCTTTACGAAGGACTACAAGAAAACGATTGGTGTTGATTTTCTAGAACGTCAGATCGAGATAGATGGCGAGGATGTGCGCATCATGCTATGGGACACAGCCGGGCAGGAGGAGTTTGATTGCATAACTAAGGCGTATTATCGAGGTGCCCAAGCCTCGGTTCTGGTCTTTTCCACGACGGACCGCGCCTCCTTCGATGCGATCAAGGAATGGAAACGCAAAGTAGAAAACGAATGCAATGAAATACCAACAGTGATAGTCCAGAACAAAATCGATTTGATCGAGCAGGCTGTGGTGAGTGCGGATGAAGTTGAAACGCTGGCAAAGATGCTCAACTGTCGACTGATACGCACTTCGGTCAAGGAGGACATCAATGTGGCTTCTGTGTTTCGCTATCTGGCCACCAAATGCCACCAGCTAATGACGCAGACCTACGACCAAGTAACTAGCGGTAACAATAGCACTCAGCAGACGTCAACGCATCCGCCCTACAGCAACGCGCCCACCATCAGCGCATTTAGTCCGACCTTCACCAAGTCAAGCAGCGGCACTATTGTCCTCCGTCCTGCCAAAAAGAGCAGTGGCTCGAGTGCGGCTCGAAAGCGGAAAATTGTTCTCAAGAAGTGTGGCATATTGTGAGGGACACATGGAAAGGGGCCTATATCTTTACAGCTGTAGACAATTAATAACTAGAGCATATTTAACGCTTAATTATTTTAGTGCCCCCACAAAATCAAGTTGTAACCATGTGACCAGCCAAGCGTTTGATGCACAGCCATTCGCTAGTCGTGCACAGACTCCGCAACAATCTTAGCTATTGCATGATATGTGCAGTAGAGCGGAAGCGTGGATTTAAGAAGCAGAAGAGTGGCAGCGGGAAGGGAAAGATGTATATGAAAAAGTAAAATAACAACTACACAAATCATTCATTTTAACAAAAACAATCTAGCGTAATGAACTTTCTATACCCTAAATTGTTTAGCAATATTTTTGATTTTAGACCACTCGTAAATCTAATAAATTATATATTATAAATTATAATATTAGCTAATATGTCATACTTTAAAAGTACAAGCTTTCTCCAGTAAAGTCAAAAAATAAAACAAAGAATTAATAATGTATGATATACATAAATATTATACAAGTTGCCCTTTGCTCAATATAAAGTAGTATTACACTAAAATTGGCTTTTATAAATTTGAATATGAAAATTTGCATGCAATTTAACAGCTTTAACAGTTAAACTTTACATAAATTATATATCCATTATTCAATTACTATTCTGAAATTTAAAGATGAATTTTTGAGCACATTTGACGCTTAGAACAGTCAGATTAATAATATTGATTTAAGGTTTTTTAAATTTGGATTTCAGTTCAGGCTTATTATTCTATACTTTACTACTATACTATTCTTTTTTGACGTCTTTTACAGTAAAGGTTTTAAACGGTTTTATAAAAGAATTGGAAAATTATGATTAATTATGGAAAATTATGATCATTAAGAATGTCTAGAGAATAATTATGTATTATTTAAATAACTTAACTTTGCTTTAGAGTCTAGTTTAAAATGAAACAAAATTAAATCTATGTAAAAACTAGTATGCTTTCACATTTAATGTCTAATGCGTATTACATTCCTAATAACTTGTGTTTCCTTGTGTTGCATACAGCTCTTCGAAATATTCAAGAACGAACTGAAAGAGTAAATTTAACAAATAGATTATTTTAACATTTTAGTCTGATTAAATTAAAGATAATTATATATAGCATTCCCTTGTATTTTTCCCACATTTCAATAACGGAGACTGATCCAAATATATTTATATATATATATATATATATATATATATATATATATATATATATATATATAAAATATGGAGGTTTTCGTGTGAATCCTTATCCAATTAGCTTAGGCAAAAAATGTGTAATTAATTGTTCCACTCCATATAATTTTGAGCGAGATGCATGTTGTAACGAAATTATGTTCGAAAGAGTAACTAGTGTTGTGGCTCTACGTTTTGTCACGCTACTTAGAATGGCAACTATTCTGAAGCACAAAATATGCAAATATTAACTAAGCATTATATTATACTATTATAAAACTAATAAATTATTATTGTATATTTTTTTAAAAATTGATTTTTTTACTCTGAACCCATCTAAAATGGGAATTCAGGGTATAATGGTTTTGGGAAATATATGTAACTGGCAGAAGAAGGCATGTCAGACCCCATAAACTCTATATATATGCCAGTCTGGCCGCGAGGACCGGAAAAGATGGTAGTATCTATTGAATGTCATTATCGTTATAAAAGTCCATTTAGAAAAAAGTTATTCAACAAATAAGTTCCCATATTATTGGACATACTGCAGCTTAAGCGCTGTCGCGCAGTAAACAGATCGCGTGCTGGTAGGTGCATGCATATGTGTTCGCCCATATGTTGTTTGTAATGTATATATATATAAGAGTATAATGATTGGAGTTTCAGCTCTTCGCAGGGCTAAGAGTGTCTCCTGGTCGAGAAGTCTAAATATCAGAGATTTATTACTCTTTTCTACAGGATTTGTTTATTGTATAAACGATTCATTCACAATTTTTGTTGGTATGCATTTTTGAAGTTAAGCTGAATATCTTTCTTTATATGTTTTTATGTTTCAAAAATTGATGCAACAAGCAACAGGAACCGTGGCCTACCCCATAATGTATATTTATTCATGATCTAGATGTCGAGTCGACTCATATCTGCCATATCCGTCCATCTGTCTAAAAAAGCCCTAGATGTTACATTTTTTACGTGTGTCGCATGCACAAATCCATTTTTCCATCCATTTTTTCCAAATATTCTGTAACTTTTCCCATTTTTATGAAATTGATTAAGACGTTATCAAGTTTTAGTTACTTAATCATCTCTCGCGAGCCTTTAAAGTTAGAGGCTCCCAATTTTGCATTAATTTTAATTTTCTAATTTCTGTATTATATGCGTGACGCTCAGTTCTTTACATGACTGTAAGCTTTCCTTAAGACTAACAACTTACGATATGTTAAGTGAGGGCATATATTGATTGCTCGATTTTTTCAATTAAGAATATCCAGAAATACCGAAATAAGCAATGTAGACATAAATTGTTGTGGCCTATAGGAACCACTATCGTAATATATATGTATATATAATCGGTCTACTGTATATGTTATACTAGATTTGCATATGAACTTTCTATATAAAAAAATATCCCATCCTTGCTTCTTAGCGCCTACAATCGTCGAAATGAATGCGTTGAAGTTAACATTTTTTTTCTGTTTTATTTGATTTTCGCTTTTACATTTTTTTGTTATTACACATTTGTTATTGTTTATGTTCGATTTTATTCAAATCTGAATTGTTTAAAGTAAAATTAGACTGCTTTTTTCGTGTTTTTTTTTCTATATACAGATGTGCTTTCATTACATAAAGCAATTTAATATTTTTTTGCAATTTTTGTTTTGTTTCTGTTGTGTGTCGTTAGTAAAGTAAGAAAGACAAATATATATTTGTTGCTATTTACAATATGAAATCGAAAGAATGGCGGCTATATGTTTTTATGAGATAAAGAAAAAAATGTGAGATTTTGTGGGCGGGGTCTGTGGTGGGATGTTTGGGTGTTTGTTTGATAAGGGGAAAAAGTTACGACTGTGAACATTTCTATAAAAAATAGAATTTATTATTATTTATTTTATTTTGTTTATTTTTTTTAATGTCATTTACTTGCTAACAAAATTTATGTGAATTGCAAACAACTTCTTGGCACTAAAAAAGATAAAGAGGGAATTTTATATTGCTACAAACTTTTTTCCTTGCTTTTTAACAAAATTTTAATTTTAATTAATTTGATTATTTTTATTAATTTTTATTTAAAATAAAAATCGCACTTGTGTGTATGTGAGTGTCTGTCTGAGGGACTGTTATCGAACTCATATATAGCTTTAATATAAGATCATATATTTTAGATGTATAGACTATATAGACAACTACAATAGAACTTTAGCCCTTAACTTCTTTTCTCTTCCATTTGTTTTTTACGATGTAGTGTTGGTAAATATTAAATTTTATAGTGTATCATTTTTATCTTCATGTGCTGTGTGGGTTTCACTGTGGGCTTAGTTTGCTTTGGGTATTGGTTGTCTATTTAAATAGAGTTTTAGCCTACTTAAACACATCGCAACGTCATACGCATATATACATATGTATATGTATACACATTTATATATATATATATATATATATATATATATACATACATATATATATATATATACATATATACATACATATATACATACATATGTATATCTTACACTATTCGGAAACGGACAAATCGACCTCATCCTTACCCTCCAGTGAACGATACTCATCCGAATCCTCACTTATGTTAGCCGTGCCAGTGGTTGATGGCTCCACAGCAACAACAACAACTTCTGAAGAAGCAGCATCAACTGTTGTTATTGGTGTAGCTGGGGGCACATGTAAAATAACTGGCTCATCGGTCAGCTGTATGGGTTTTAAGTCCGAAAACTGTTTGGTTTCAGGTTCTGACAGTATTGATTCCTTTGAATGCTCCTCACTCTGTTTTTTTTGTCTTGTTGGTTGTTGTTGTTGTGTTTGGGATTGTGTTATTATATCAGCAGAGGCCAACAGTAGATCCAATTTTAGTTTTCTTGACGCCGTTGGCTGCTCTGTTATCACAGACTGTGCTTGAGTTGCCGTCGCTGCTATCACTGCCGTTTCTGTTATTGTTGTTGCTGTTATTGTTGCTATTGCTGTTCCTGCTGTTATTGCTTCTGCAGCAGAAGTGGCAAGCGCCAGCAATTCATCCTCCTCGCTAACGCTAACGTATCGACAACGCTCGCTGAGCAGCGAGGCTGACTCGTCGTCCTCCTCGTTGACACTAGAGATGCTCACTGTACGCTCTTTGAAGCTTTGATATATGCTGCTACCAGCAATACTCGTAGAGCTAGGCACATCCATCACATCCCGTAACGTCGCTGCTAACTGAGGTCTGCTAATGATGCCAACGGAAGATGTGGCTATTAAAAGAAACCGATAAAAAGGTATTTCAATTAATTTACAGACTTTCGGCAGCTTTATGTAAATTGACTGCTGTTAGACCAAAGCAAGTTACCCCCGAATCTGTTGAATACTAAAAAGTACTGCATATGTATATTAACTTCCTTTAAACTATGATAAAACAAATATTTGATTCGCTTAGCCGAGTTTACAAAACTTAAAAAAAATCGATACAAATAATAAAACTAAGAGATTATTGAAATAACTAAAAGCTCTGAATGCATATGGAAAGAGTTATATAAGAGTTTTCTTTTTCATTTAATATTTTACCTTTAAGTTTTAAGCTAACGGAACATCTATATTCTTTGTAAAAAAGATATTCAACGCTCAATTTATTCTGCACAATTACAAATATCTGTTATCTCCTTTATTTAAAAGATGACCTAGTTAATCTGTACAAACAATATGAACCTGTTCCAATCTTTACTTCGTTTTTTACGTGACTTAGTCACCCGCTCACTCACTTACATTCCAAACGGTCGCGACGCTGCGGATATCTTGAGGGCACAGGCGCCAGCTTGATGCGGTAGAACTTGGAACCCTTGCTGACTCGATAACGATTCTCATCCTACATAATAAATAATACGTTTAGTTGCGATTAATATAGGTTATACGATCGACTTACCTTGCGTGCTTGGCAGTACTCTTTATCAATAATTCGTCCGATGGCGTAATATGGTAGGGGTATGTGATTGCGCTCTGCGATAGCCAAAGGAACATCGGTAGAGGTACCTGATGGCGAGTGTGAGGGTGCCTGTGTCATTGGTGCCGTCAACTGGAGGGCGGCCAAGCTATCCGCATGTACGAAGTACAGGGTTTGCGAGTCCTGCACCACCATAAACTGTGAATGTCGTATGCTCCAAATAACAAACACCAAATCACCCTTGCCGCAGCTCTCGAGAGTAATGTGACGATGATTTGATGACGAGGAGACACTTGATTTTGAGCGCGTTAATGTGCCGCCAACGCCTGCAACGCCCACCTCATAAGTGGAGCTGAATGTAGAAGAAACAAATTAATCAATCATTAATCATTTAATAACTCAAACATAGAATAGGTTGTTGAATCAAACAGCTAATAATTAAATTAAATTCACTGAATTAAATCATTCACTGACCTCTTCAATGCTGCCACACTAGACTCCATTTCCATTCGCTTGCTCTTCTCCATATTGAGCTCTTCCTCCAGGCGGGATTTGTCGCGACTGAGATAGTCAATCTTCTCTTTTAGCCAGCTGTTCCCATCCTCATTGGTGAGCATCTCGAGACGTGTCTTCAGCTGGAAGGTATCCTGTGTGAGCAGGCGGTTCTGCTCTCGTAAGATGTCCAGCTGTCGCTCCTTGTCCTCCAGCACATCTTTCAGTATAGACACATTGGCCATCACAGATTCTGAGTTTTGAGTTCGGAGCTCTCGCTGCTGCCAAAGCGTGCGCTCTGCCTCAATAGCTTCGCTGATAGCACGCTCCTTTTGGGCAACCAGATCTTGGCGTTGCTGCGCCAGCAGCTGTTCTACATCCAGACTGGACACACTGGAACTGCTCGTAGGTCGCTCCAGCTTCTCAAGGCTGCTGTCAGATGGCGAACGCTCCATAGAGGTCATCAGCTTAAATCGACAGCGCAACGATTCCAACTCCCTTTTGTGTTCGTGTATCAGCTGCTCGCGTGCCTGCGTCACGGCTTTCACTTTATCGTCTTCCGCCGCTAACAGCTGTTGACGCATTTGCTCCAATTGTTCCGCCTGCTGTTTTTCTTGTTGCTTCCACTTCATGAACAACAGCTGCCACTGTTCCTGCATCAGCGCCAGGCCCGACATTAGCTCGTCTTGGTAGCCACGCTCTAATTCGGTGCGAAGGCTACTCAGATTGGAACGCGCCAATGTCAGACACTGTAACGCCAACTTGGACATAGCGTTCAGAGCGTCTCGCAGTCGTTGTAAACTCTCCGCATTATCATCTGTCAGTGTGCTAGCGCTCAGCATCAGCCGTGGATCTGTTGCGGTGCTACGCGCTATCTGCTCCACATGCAAGCTTGTTGAGGTGCTCACAGTTTGTTTGTCAACTACAGTAGCCACTTCAAACTGCTCAGACTGTAACTGCAGTTCCTTTGGCTCAATTTGCTCTGGTTGCATCACATCGTGCCGCTGCACAAAGAACTCCAAAACAGGCGCCATATTTGGTAACTGGAGTTGACTTGCCAGATCAGGTAACTGTGCAGACAGTAACTCAATATCGGAGCGTCCAAGCTGTGGTAGACGGGTATCAAAGCTCAGCTCTGGATGCTCATTAGCAAACGTGGGCGGCATATCAGCCATGCCCGGAAAAAGAATATTTAAAAAGTGACCATCAAAGCTGTCATTAAAAAGTCGCCGCCTTTGCAGCTCCTCACTGTGAATGCGATCGAAATCTACCGACAGTCGCGATGCCCATACCCGGAACTCATCTGAAAAAATCTTGCGACGAACGACCTCCGTAACAGCCGCCACATAAATGCTTGGCGCTTGATGGATCTGTTCAATGATGCTAATGTGACGCTCAGCACGACGCAGGCAACGATGGTAAAAGAGCAAACGGTTATCATAATCGCTCATTCCATTTTCAATGTAGACGATGCGACGTAGACGCGCATTCAAATTGCGGCCGAGTTCCTCCTTAGAGTTGGCTATAAGGCGACTATATTCACGTATTTTAATGTGGTTATCACGCATCACAAGAAGCTGAGAGCGATGCGAGAGGCACAGATCAGGCAGCACCGAATTGTCACGAAGATTGAGCGCACGCGACTCATTCTGTTGCAGAGCAGTCGCTTGCTCTCGCTGATCTTGGACAATCTTCTTGATCTTATACTTAAACTCGTCGAGACGATACAGACGATCACTTAAGCCTTTGATCTCCTTTACATCGCTCTGCTTGGCCATCTTGATGATGTTCTGCACCTCGAGCTTGAGCTTCTCGTATATGTCTTCGGAGAAGGTGTTTAGTCCCTGAACGCATTCATCACACATTTGCTGGAGCGCAGCATGATTGCCCTTCGAGCTTATCCACTGAAGTAGATTGAGTTGATGTTGTTGTTGTTGTTGCAACAACTTAGAGTTGGAGTTGGATTGTTCTTCGCTTTGATCCAACTGTTCGTGACCCATTTTCAGCTTCTTGTTGGGAGATGTGCTGCTACTGCTTTTCTCTACACTCTCCGTTCCACGCTCAGCCAAATCTGTCTCTGTTGTCAGCTGATCGACATCTTCGTTATTGAGTAGCTCATCAAACCCATGAAAATCCGCCTGAGCCTGCGACATCAGTGCTGGTAGTATGGGTATCCTTTCCAGCTGCTTGAGATCTTCGTTAAAATTACACAACAGCTCTAGGTAGCTCTCCCGTTGCTGCAAATGCCGGTCGAAAGCCAGGCAAAAGTTTTGGAAGCGTTCACCAAATTCAGTTGTCAAGTCCTCCATATTGGCCACCACTGCGGACCACCCCTGCTGCTGAAGATGTTGCTCATGGACCAATCGCTCACACTGCAGCTCTTCCTTGCGGCCAAGCTCGCGCATATGCTGCGCTAGAGCCGCTCGCTGCCGAACTGTCTCCAGTACCGCAGGCAATTTCTGACTCTCGTCCACCAAGCGTCGAAGCTCCGCATCGGCAGCATCTGCCGCTGCACTAGCTGTGTTTCCGCCCGAACCACCGCTCGCTATCGTTGGGCCCACTCTCTCGTCGCCGGTAAGAAACATGAAAATGGGATTGGTATCGGTGCCTGCGGAGTAGCACGAAACCTGTGTGGAGTGTGTCAGCATCTCGCCGCCGCTCACAAGCAGCACAATATTGGCAGCGGGTAGCCCGTGTAACCGCTGAATTGTCTCCTTTAAATTCTCCACCGAAGACAAAGCAACGGTCATATCGAAGCTCAGCATGCGACCGACGTCCACATGGTATACGTACAACATCATGTGGCAACTGTCTGTCTATGTTGAAGCTCCAACTGTTGTTGCTGGGGTCGTCCTCCACCTCCTCCTCTCTCTACACTTTGCTGCTTGTTCTCTTCTTCTCTTCCTCTTTGTTTGGCAGTGCTAATGCTTTTTAAATTCATACAAGTGCATCAGTGTGGGTGAGTGAGAGTTTATGTGTGTGGCTCTGCCACCTTGCGTTGAGGGTCTGCAAGACAAAGGCAATAGAAAGAGAGAGCGTTACTGTTAAGTGGCGTAATACTAAGGGGTGTTCATTTGTTAATATTATATATGTAGATTCCTTTTTATTAGGCGCATACCACGTGACTGTTACAGTTAACAGTTAACAGTCAACATTTTGTACATGATCTAATTTTACCGATAAGTTGACTGCTCGTTTAGACATTATGGCGCTGCAGGTGTCAGTTAGCAGTTCAAATGTGAATGATTAAACGAAAGCCAACGTCGCCGTCGCGCTTGTTGTTCGTGTTTTAAAGTCGCAATAAAGAACTAGTTGTTTTTGCTATTGTTGTGTCTATTTATTCAACTCAAGTTTTTTACATGTCCATATGTATATACATATATATATATATATATAATACACTGTTTACATTTTGTCTGGCAAACTTTGGATCTTGTGCAAATGTGGAGGAAGCGATAAGAAATTAATACAAAAATAGTACCGCTTTGGCTGTATGAATTGCACATGCGCACAACAACATCAACAACAATTATGTATTATCAACACACTTTTAGTCTACTACTTTTAGTCAACACAAAATAAAAAAAACGTCTTGACTTGTTGGCGAAACTAACAGAACTAGCAGACATCGATAACGGTGCAACACTAGCGTGGCTGTTGAGACACGTGTGCACGATCCCTCGGTTTGAATGTAGCTGGTAGAGCGAAAGAAAGCGAGAGAGACGATCAAAGATGGGAGTTCCCTGTTGTTATTACCTGACGCATACTTTGCTAACAGTTTACACATTTCTTTTATTATCCCTGTACGGATTTCATAATTTTTGGAAATACAAATATTATTTTTCTAAGAGTTGCTTCATTTTGTGCAAATACGCAGAAATTACTAGGGAAAACGCATTTAAACATATGACTTGGAAATTTGGAAAAATTGTCAAACTTTGATTTCAATCATTATTTTGTCATAAATCTTACGTTTTAGAATGAATCTCAAGTGCAGCGCGGATATTTGATTAGTCGTCAATAAATTTCAAATCACCGCATTTTGTCCGTCTGATAATAGCTTATCAACGTAATTAAGTACAGATCATACATAATATGCTTAAGTTTGTGATATGCAGTTAAGTTAAACGCATATATCAATTATTCCACAGTTAGCTGCTGTTAGCAGTGAGGGTATAGGATTTGACCAAACTGATCAAGCATCTTAGTTTTATTTTTTTTTAATTTCAACGCCTTTTTTCGTTCAGGTTCATAAATGCTGATAAAGTAAAGTAAAAATTCTATAAACATGCGTAGTTCGTTTGCAAAGTTTATCGACACTTTTGAAAAATGTTGTTTTGAAGCCCCGTCTATACGCAACTAATTGTGAACAGCTGATGCACACGATCAAACCTCAAGTTCATAATAGTAAAAGCAACTGCAGAAACAACAAAAATACTAATAGTTATGATGTACACATGTTTCTGTCATCCAGTTGGCAGCACTGACCAACACCAATTGCTACATGCGACTGCGTAAGTGTGTGTATGTCATTTATTCATATAAACATATGCAGGTTTGCCTGCATGCTTGTGTATTGTTTTGGTCTGCACTTTGTTATTTTCCATTGCGCTGCATTATTATTTTGGGGTAGCGCGAAAATGCATAGACACTAGCAACGAAGCAAAAATTACTGTTACAATTATCAACAATATAATTTTTACAAAAACTAATTTGGATATGAGCGTAAATATGTAAATAGCTTCAATTAATTGTAATTTGGCTCGAACCGACCGACACACACAAACAAATAACAACAGAAACAAGGGTTGCCTGACGTTCAGAAAGAAAATGGCAGCAGGTGCAGAGCTGCATTCAGTTTCGCACAAGTCAAATGGGAATGGGTGAGAAGGTCGAGGGGAATAGGTGGGGAAAATAAGGGCATGGGGATTGTGGGGACCACTATTTAAAATTTATGCACCAAAAAGGGCGTCATCAATAGTATGTGTGTGTGCATATTCTTTAACTTTGCTGCTTAATTATAAACGATGCCTCGCACTTACCTTGTAATCCTTAATCAATTTTCACTGGCCCGCCTTTCTGAGTGTATTTTTTTACTTGTATGTATGTGTGCGGGGTTTTGTTTGTAGTTTTTCCGTGTGTTTTGATTTTAATCAATTGAAAACACTCACGAGCACGAACACGAACGCTGCAAATGATTTGACATCAGCTGTGTGTTCCTATATGTGTGTGTTTGTTTGTTCTGTGTCAGCACCAACGACGTCGACGTCGGACTTCAAAACAAAAGCTGTTAGTACCTAGTTTTAGATTCTCCTTTTACTCTTTATGCGTCTTATTTTGCTCGTTCTGTGTTACTGCCAGCGTTTTCCCTCCTCCTATAATTATGTTTAAACTTATTTTTATTTTTATCGCATTACTTTCGACTTTTTCGTTGGATCTTTTCCTTTCCTTCTTTTTATTTTCAGATTGTGTTGCGTATCAAAAAAATCAGAGCTGTGCAAAAGCTGCACAAAAAACTCAGGCGATATGCTTAATATTTAAATATGTTGCGTTTTTTTTTTTGTTTTGCGTTATTTGATTTGGTTGTTGGGCCTTGCTGTTTCGTTTTCCCCCTTCTTAATCTATTTCTTTGTCTATCACAATTGCGTTGTTGTTGCTGTGTTGTTGTTGTGGGTTGCTGCTGCTGTGGATGTTGTTGTTGGCAGTTATATTCCAAGTCAATTTTTCGCCATTTACGCGTCGCACGGTTAAGCAATTTTTTGTTTTTATTGTTACATTTATTTCACGAATGCCTATAGTTCAATTACTTATATTTCTAATTAAATTAAATTGTATAAAAATGAAATAACGCACTTTCGTAGTTCTGCCGTCTTCTTCTTCTGTTTTAATAATAACAGCGAATTACAGTGGCAATAACACTAACATTTGGTCAGCTGTTATTTACAGCGAACAAAATTTATCTTTTTAAAAGATTGTCCGTGAATAAATAATACTATAACATGTATTACTATAGAAAATTATAAGTCATATTAGCACAAACTGTCATTATTGAACTAAAATTTAAAACAATAATTCTATTTCAAAGCAATTGTAATCGAACATTTTTATTGCAACTCACAATAGACTATTATCGATACTCGAAATATTACATACACTTCGTGAGCGTAAATTCAGTCATTCATTAGTGTACGTCTACAGTGCTCATCTCTAGTACTTAAGAAAAAGTGTTAAACGAGTCAAGTGAAAAAGTTCTAACGAGTTTTGTTTTTAGGAAAATTTGGCAATAAAAAGTCATAATATATAATAAATTAGGTTTAAGTAGATCTACAACCGTGGTGACGATTTCGTCATAAATTAAACACAGTTACCGAGATATATATACATATACAAGCATTGAAAAATCGTCATCAGCGGATATAGGACAGGGCAACGGGCGGATACACACACAAACACACTTATACACATAGACACACACACACACACACTCGGATACAAACAAATACCTAGCTACACTTAACATTTCATATACACACTCATAAACACAGCCCCACATATAAACTTTCGTTTGTTCGAATTTTGAGATTCTCGCTTATATGTAGATTATATTTTTTATCTATTTTACTATTTGTATTTTACCTTAATTACATTGTATTCTATCTTAAAAAAACACAAAACACGAAAAATACTTTTAAAAATGATCAACATTCAGACTATAGAAAATGTTGCGGACTGCACGCCGCTTTATTTGCCGCACAGCTTGTATCTCAAGCCGTTGGCTAAAATGCAAATATCAGTTGCGTTGCCCGAAAAAATCAAAGCCGGCAAATCTGTATCGAATCTGGAGATAATGGATAAACTAAGTGCGGAACTGAAACCAGATAAATTTCTAGTACTTAGGGTAAGGGAATGTAGGCATATAGGTATAAAGTAAGTGCTTAAATTCTCCCTCCTATGAATTTGTCCAGGTCTCGAAGAGTACAGTAAACTACATACGTTTCGAAGCAGAGCTGGACGAACGCAAGCGTCTGCGTTTGGCCATTGGACGCTTGGACGGCATCGCATTGCGACTGTCGGGCTTTAGTGATTCGTTTCGGGTGCGTTGCACCGAGGCCAAAGACGAGTTTCCCACACGTCACGATTGGGATTCATATTTTCGAGATGCCCGCAACATGGATGAAATGAAAGCGGGTGAACGACCAGATACCATACACCTAACCCATTTGCCCATTCGCTGGTTTTGCGCACGACATGCGGAGCACGAGGAGCACGTGAAGCCAAGCGAAAGCATATTTAAGCGCATCTTTGAGAAATTCGGGCCTGTCCGTGCTGTTGACATACCTATCTGCGATTTGTATAGAAAGTGCATGCAGTCAGATATAAGCGGGATGCGAACGTTTAGCTACGAGCAGGATGTGCTCTTCGAAGCGTGAGTCTTTGCTTTAAAGGGAGCTTCACTATACTCACTAATTGTCTATAATATTGTAGATATGTTCAGTTCGAAGAATACTCAAGCTTTGTACGAGCCATGGATGAGTTTCGAAGCACCAAGCTGGTGCGGAAGTACGTCGACAAAACGCAAGCCATCAATATTAATGTTACCTTTGACAAACAAAAGCATTTAAGCGATTCACATGTGCAGCGACGTGAGCGTATGAGAAAGCGCTGCATTGCCAAGGCCCAGGCCGAGGATGAAGAGCTCGAGCGGGAGAAAAGGAAACAAGCAGAGCTACAAGAACTTGAAAGGTTTGAACTCACTTTCGTTTGCGTGTTCGGGCAGGCAATGAAACGGAATATTAAAATTTAAAGAAAACAGATTTAAATAGTTAAAGGAAGAACCAGTATCAGATTAATTTGTATCATGCATTAGATTCCATAACTACATAATGCTTACGCTTGGCATCAAACGATTGGAAATAGTTGTAACGATTAAAAGCAAAACGTTTAGTTTTGCTTACATAGATTTTGCCTTTCAAATATGCTCATCGGGTTAAATGTAGCTTTTGTTTTCATTCATAAACGAAGGTATTCCAATCTTAGATTTAATTTTGGTACTTCCATCTTTGGCAAAATAATGTAAATGCTAATACATTTGTGCCTTAGTTACATTTTAAATGGATAATCTGCCAAGATAAAATACCAATAAATTAAATTTCTTATATTCTACGGTATGAATTAAAAAGTACTAAATTCGTTTATTATTTTTATTAGTTTTTGTCAGTGCCTCATACGGGTAGTCGTTTGAAGCTTCGGTATTTTTCAAGAATTATTTGAATTAGCTTAAATGTAATTAAGAGTTTATTCCTTGCCTTCTGTAAGTTCGATTCGTTTTAATTATTCCATCGGTTTCATTTACTGCTCGGTTCCATAAACTTATTGTAAACATTGTATATAAATTGTCTGCCGTTTAGGCCTAGTTTGGCGAACTACATAGTTTTCTGCCTCTTCTAGAAAAAAACAGTAAACATGTGCTTAGCAAAAAAAAAAATTCAAAAATTGCGAAAAAATTGCAAAAACAAAAATTTACAGGCAAAAGAAAGAGCAATTGAAATTATCCGAATTGGAGAAGCAGCGCGAACGTGAAGAGAAACGCAAGGAGAAGCATTTGAAAAGGATTCAAGAACGCGGCCAAGTGGAGATTTCACAAAAGATACGCATCGAAGAGCGTAAATTGATGATAGCACAGCGAAAACTGGAGAGCATACGAATCCTGGAGCAGGTTTTTGAACGCATACAAGTGAGTGTGGGAAAGTAACTTTATTTCAAGTAATAACAATAATGCTTCCTCTGTAGCTCAAGCAAAAAGAAAAGAAGCAGCGTGGGAACCACGATGAGGTAAAAGACTTGCAACGAGGGCGTTTGGTGGAAAAGTATAAGAGCGCCACAGAAAAGTTGGTCTGCGACCAACGCAAGATTGTGCAAGAAATCAAGAGTAATACTCCGCTAATGGGCTTGCTCAAGAGCAAGTTGAAGAAGAGTGGGCCAGCTGCAGTCAGCAGTGAGGAGGAAGATTCAACTACAGTTATCAAAAAGCATAAGCTTAACGGGAACATTGCCGGCCCTAGTGCAACTTTGGGAGATGCTGCTCAGTCGAATGCGGTGCTTAATCCCTTTAAGGCCGTGACAGCTGCTCTGGCTGCGGGCGCTGTCCCGGGTACAGCTGCAGCTGCTGCATACAATGGTGCAGCCGAGGCAGCCAACGAATGGATGCAATCGCTTTCTATGTTCGGCTTAGGCATGCCCACCGTATTTCCCGGCACTGCGATTTATCGTGCACCGGGACCGCCGCCATTTGCGATGTCCAGCAATTATCGCGGATTCGCGCCGCGTGCGCGTGGTCGTGGACGTGGACGAGGCATGCGGGGCAATCACTCATTTTCCTATTACAATCCCAAGCAATACGATACCGATCGCTACGAGGAAGATGATGGGGACGATGGTTACTATCAAAAGGCGTCGCGGGGAAGGTAAGGGAATGATTCAAATACCTGTTGATATGCTTTCTGTTTATATCAAATAATTACAGAAATCGTTCACGCTCCACCTCTTATTCACGTAGTCGGAGCCGGTCTCGTGGGCGTCGGTAAGTGGACTGATACATTTTTTTCAACGTATACCATATCATTATCATGTGTTTTTAGTCTTATTTGCCGGTCCAGGCGCAGTCGCAGTCGCTCGAACTATCGGAAGTCCTCCTATTCTTTGCGTTCAAGGTGGGTACTAGACTTTTATCATTGATTAATCAATAAGTAATAAATGATCGCTTATAGACGCAGCTATAGTCACAGCAAATCACCTGTTCACCGTAAGAATCGGAAATTAGCTTCGACGCGTCGTTCACGGTCTAGCACCTACACCACCTCACGCTCTCGTTCCCGTTCACGCTCCCGTCGGTCTAATTCACGCCGAGAACGACGCAGTCGTAACCGTATCAAGAGTCGCAGTCGTAGCAGAAGTTGCAGCAATTCCTCGAAAAGGATTGTTTTGGAAGCTGATAAGCTAGTGGCATCCGCCGAGCATATACAGCGCACTATTGAGCAACACACTAAGGATCGCATGCGTGAGGAGGTGCGTGAGATAAAACAAACGTTTCGTCATCAGCGTAAGAGCAACCAAAGGGATGAGGATTTGGAGCCACAGTCAACGAATGCAAAGCGAGATGAAGATGAAAACAAAAGACATGGCAGCAGCAAGCGTAGTAATCGCCGCAATTCTTTGGCAGCGTAGACTAATGATACAATGACAGAGTTCACAATAAATTTGTGTTAGTAACTAACCATAAGCACTACATAGCTTATTTATGCCTACAAAATACTCTTTTTTTAATTTAGCTCCAATATTCTCATTGGGATTATACACATATCTGATTGGATATATTTCTTGCGCTCGATTAAATGTGGTGGCACGCCAACTTATATATATATGTCCCTACACTTATATCGGAAGAATCAAATATATCGTTTTAGTTTTATCGATATTGACGGCTAATATACAAGCTGCGGTTGTTACATTTTACAGTCAATTGTTTTCTAGTATTTCTAAATTAATATATGATCGGATCAAGCACAAAATGGAGTTATCTGCAATGCCAAGTAAATATTTGATTCCTTTTTTGTTGTAAGTTTACAAAGCGTGCGTTCAGAATGTGTTTTTTGTTGGTGCTTGAAGTTGTGGAGCATTAAAACCTTCTGTTGTTGTTACGGCCCCTATTTCGACCACCACCGCTGCCGCCGGCACCCCCGCCTCCGCTATTGTTGCCACGCCTTCGACGTTGCTGCCCACTATTGCCGGTCTTTTGGAACTGGTCGCGATCCCGATCATTAAAATTGTCGCCCCCATTGTTGCCATAACCATTCTGATGGTTACCATTACCATTGCCATAGTTCGACCAGGGATTGGTGGAGGCCCAGGGATTGGGGCGATTTGTGTCCTCGCGCGACATTTGATCCAATGGCGAGCCGCTTCCGTAGCTCGTGGGTTCATCGATGAATTCGGTTTTCGGCTGCTGCGCTTTGACTGTCAACAAGGACGGCAAAAAGGGTTTCTTCAACAGTAACAGCTCCCGCACACACACTAACTGTGCATTGTGCTGGCGAGGCTCGAAACGCGACTTTTTGAGCGGCGGTGACACTTCGCCACGTAACTGTGCTCCCTCCACGGTGGGCGACAGAGATCTGGAACGCTCTCGTTCGCGCTCGCGCATGGGTACAACATCGCGCAGCTCCTCCAACTTACCGGCATCGATGTACTTGTTCAGGTATTCGGCGCCTTGTCGAATGGCACCCATTAGTCGTGAATCGGGATGCACCCGGATAAAGCGTCCATAGACAAAGACGCCCACAATTGTGTGGGGATCCAGGCCGTTGAGCATGCCGCTGGCCAAGATACCCTCAAGCGTATTCTCACTGATCTGTTGGTGGGTCAGGCCATTGCTAGAGTCCTTGGACTCCCGCGCGGCCAATTCGTCGTGAATGCTAAGTACACTAGGATCATCGGCTCGTCGTGGTCCTGCCCATTGTACCTGGAAGTTACGTGGTATGGGTTTGCTGTAGGGCACTTTCTTCTCGCGATCACGGTCACTGGCTAATCTGCTGCCGGCATCCAAATCCAAGCCAGGAATAAAGCCCTTGTCAGCCGTCAAGCTTTCTGTGAACTCGACCTTGTCCTCGGGCCCCATGCCAGGTATCACTGCATCATCTATAAAATGTTCAATCATCAATCAAATGATTCGAAATAATGTAATTATGTTACTTACCATATTCGCATTCATCTAGAGCAGCCAAACTAGCAGGCAGCGTATTTAAATTGTACTTGTCACGCATCAGATCTCCGGGTCTATTACGTGTCCAGAACTTGATAGTATGATCGTTGGAACCGGAACACAAAATGTGGCCTAGTGGATGCCATGCAAGCGTCCACACGATGCTGTCGTGTGCCGTCTCTACACAACCAATTTCCTTGTCCGTGCTGAAAGTAATTTCGATTGATATTATAAAATCTATAAAATTTTACATTAATCTATGTGAAATTTTAAAATAATATTCTGCTAATTTTCATTTATAAACTACCTCATAAGCCGGCTAATATACTTATGGTAATAGTTAGTATTAATGCGGCAACCTATTAACCATAGCTCTGTTTATATACTAATGTTAAATTAAAAATTTAAAAATATCTGAAAAATATGTTAAGAACTTTGTGTTCATAATTTTTAAATGCAGTGGAGTTCCGATAATTCGAAATGCCAAGAGACTAGCATATTACGCATTCTAAAATGTTGGGGTTTAAGGTCAACAAATGTGGAAATTACAGGATATTTTCTATTATTAGGAAATATTACCAATTTATCGGACGGGGTCCCCATCGAGTATATATTAAAAATATCAAGTCTCTAGCTTCAATATTTAGGTAACACTAATACGGTACAAAACCAATATACTCATTTCACGTCGTGAATGAGTACAAAAATTTAGAATTAAATGGAGTAAACTATTTAACATTAGGGTATTCAGATTATTGCTGTTGAGTCAGTTTACTAGATGAGGATGTTAGAGAATAGACTGTTTTTGATGTAGAATTGATGTGATTCTTGATAGAACTATCTTAAATTGTATTGCCATCTCGGCTTTTTTCCATTATCGAATTATGATTTATTTTTGCGCATTAGATAAGGTTTTATGGGTACGTTTATTTTACATTTTTACAGATCGATTTAATACATGGACAAAAATTGTCAAACTAAGCGCAAACAATGAAAAGCCCACAATTCATTACGAATTATAAGAGGTTTCGAAAAAAAACTTCAATTTATAAGAGATAAAACATTTTTGCGTTAAAAAAAGAAAAGACGAATTAATGATTTTTCTTTTTAAAGGGATAGAAGTTTTTGTGAGCTATTGAAATTTTTACTTAACAGGGGACAAATTATAAGGACTCAACTGTTTTTGCATTATAAATTGTTTCTAATAATCTGTTAATGACTAATAATGATAATCGAACAAATAAGTAAGTTATATTTAGAGGTTGCCCGAAATGCCTGATGAACCCTATCTGTCTGCCTATGTCCTGTATCGAACGCGTTCATGCAGAATCAAAAATCTTGTTTGTCTGAGATCGCCTCTTTCTGTCTGTCACATACATTTTAACAAAACCATTATACCCTGAATTCCTATTTTTAATAGGTTCAAGGTATAAAACGTTTAGAATAGAATCTCTTTTGAACAGTTTTCCTGCGGGACACACACATCTAGCTTCATCAAAATGGCATCACAGACTTAAAATATAGTCCTGAAGACTATTAGAATATCCTTATACAAAACGCACCCCACATTCCAAAAGAGTATGGAACCATCGGACCCGCCCGAGCAGAATAGACCCTCGTGTATGGGATGCCAGGAGACAGAGCTGGCTTCCTTCTTGTGACCACGAAATACTTGAACCTCTTCGCGAAGATTACGTATGTCGAAGAGCTTAAGTAAATGGTCACGCGAGGCTGTGACCAGCCAATTGCCATTGTCATTCCATTTGAGATCCATAACAGTCGATTTGTGGGCATGTCTAAAGGATAGCATTAAATGTTAGAGGTACAAGCCTTTAATAAAATTCTACTTACAGCGTCGCAAGCGCAAGGCCACTCTTGGGATCCCAAATTTTGATAGGCTGTTGGTTATCTTTGCTGCCGCTAACTATCATTGCCTTTTGGGGATGCCAGTGCACGCATTTGACATCCGCGCCATGGCCTGCGATTAAAATAATCAGTTAGTACTGAACTGAGATTCAGGATATTTGTTTTACTTACCGCGTAACACGCGCTCCTCCTGGCAGCGCATAAAATCCCAAATGCGCAGCGTTCCATCATCGCTACCGCTGACAAATTTGCTGTCCGTGGGACTAAAACTGCGTTTGAGTTTTTTTTTATTTATTCGGAATCAGATTCGGAGAGACACAGCGAGGTTAGAAAATTTAAAAGGAAACACAAATACAATATAGTAGTGTGTGTAGATGTTTGTATGTGCAATAAAGATGAAAAGCCTGCAACTGTAAATATGAGGTTCTTCGCAACACGTTAGCTGCTGGCATTCTATTTGCCTCTCTCTTTACCTGTTTTTCAGCAGCGACAGCAGCAGCAGCAGCAGCAGCAGCTAAAGAAAACAATCGAACCCCCGAATTTGAAAATAATATTTGTGCTTTTAGCATTTATTTTTGTTGTTCTTATTGCCACGACGCGCAAATAAAATGGTGCAAAATTGTGTTTGGTTTTATTGTCAGTTTTGCTTTTATTGTATTTTTAGGATACAACATTTTTTATCAAATCTTTTATTATTATTTTGCATATTTTGTGTGACATTTTCAAAAATGAATTATTTAATTGAATTGATTGACAATCTGTTTTGTTTTTTATAGTTATCGCTAATATCACAGTAAATATACATACTTAGACTGATTTTTTTTTTGCTTCTTTAACTTAGCTCTGAATTTCTGAATTATAGGAACTACTATGCACAAGACTATTTGTCAGCTAAACAGAGCATTGATATTGCTTAAATTGCTGCTTAATTGGCGGCTTTATTGAGATATATAATATAATGTATAACTCAATATAGTATCAAAGGAAAACATTCAACGAAACCCAAACAGAAAGCTCATTGGTTAACAAAACTAGCTGCAACTACAACCCAAGCGAAGAATGCGAGGAGGAGAATATTAAGAGATCTGCATGCTAACTGCAGCTGCGCTGTAACTGTAAACAGGCTAATATTTGTTTGGTTACGGCAACAGTGGCTGCGAAAATGGTAAATAGCAATTACAATCATTAGGCAATACCTTATTCCCCTAATCGCCTCCTTGTGGGCCTGATACATCTTAACGTTGTTCATGTTCGATTGCCAGTACTTAACATAGCCGCCATGATCGCCGGTTACCATCCAGCTGTCATTATGCGACCAAACCATCGTACGCACTGCAATATCGTGTGCCTATATTGATGACATATTCAGGTATAAATATAAATTCAGAAATAAATAATACCAACACTCACCTGTAGTATGGTCTCAAAGTTGAATGTCAGGCCGTTCCAAAGTGTGAACTCTCCAGAGCTAGCTCCCGTTACTAATCGCCTGCCTTCTGGTGTCCAAGCAAGCGTAAATATAGGGCAGCGCATTTTATTTGTGGCCGTTTTAACAAAACGAGTTGTAATCGCATTTGCTGGATTGTCCAGCGAGCTGCTAGGAGGGAGCATTTGTGGCACATAAATGCTATCCGGTTGAAGTGCCAGTCTATCTCTATAATCACGTTGCCAGAGCCGCGCCTACGCAACGAGAAGAGAATTTATTTTACTATTTTTTTCTCTCTTTCTGGACCACTTACCTCCAGTGCCTTTATTATAGACGCATTATAGTCCACCGTTTTACGCATGACACTCTTGCGGAGTCGCTTGCCATCAAAGTCATCCTGTGACATGCCAAATGGACGTTGAAATCCACCAGGCATAAATGGCTTAAAATGATTGTAGCCCTGCTTGCCGGATCCATGGTGTGGATGATAATGTCTGTAGTGCTGACCGCCCATTGATGGCGGTGGCATCGAAGTGAAATTTGTTGCCAATGCCGATGGCGCCGTCAATAGCTGTGGTGGCGGCTGTGAAACGTCCATTCCTTTTTCTTCTTCTACTGAATTGAACTCCAAATTGGATTTATATTCGCTAATTGATTTCTGCTTGCATTCAAAGAAATTTTCATGAGAGCTGAATTTCTAATAAATGGGAAGAACCAGTTCTTCAGTTCGATTTCGATTGCTGCGGACTGCTGCGATTTATGCTTTGCACTTGAGTTGAAAAGATTAGTAAAGCATAAATATTTGTCGCTACATGCAACACGCTTCTGTAACAAATAATTAAAGATTAAAGAATGTATTCGAATTTGCACTTATTTGAAGTAATTCGGTAAATAAAATAAACGGATACCTACATACACCCACACGCATGTGGAACGTATGTGGCTTGTTTATTTTCTCTATTATTGCATGTGATTTTGTTGCTACTATACTTACTTGTCAGTCTAATGGTTAGGCATTTTTTCTATAAAAAATTTGCATGACTTAATTAAATATCTTTAATACTTAAATTAGTCGCGTGGATTAGAGTTGTTGTTACTGATGCGTCCGGAACGAGTTCTACAGAACAGCTCACTTAACTGTACGAACTGGCTCAAATGTTGTTCAATTAGTTCGATTCACGATTTTTTGAGAATAAAAATGTTAATATTTTGCATATGGGCGCCCCTGTTTAATAAATAATTAAAAACTATAAACAGTCACAACGCAAATATCTTGCAAGGAAATGTAAGTCCTTATTCACTTGTGATGGCAGAAACTGTAAAATACCTCGAAGTTGTCTGTCGTTGACTATCGATGTTTACAATTTAATATCGATAATTTAGTAAAATATTGCAAAATATATCGTTATAATAGCTACTATTGGATACAAAACTAGTGCATCTCTAAACCGGGCTTTGAGCTAACAACTTTCATATACATCTGCGCTTGCGTTTGTGAGCTCAGTAGGTCGTCGTTCGTTGTTGAGTTCATATTGGAATTGGGCTCATCCAATATTTTTATTGGCAGTTTAATTTAAATAGCTGTGTCAAGCATTGTGTAAATAAAAAACCGTTTATAATTTGTTGTTAAATTCAAATTTATGAGTTTGAAAAGTTGTTTTTCTGTTCAACGTCAATTAAATGATAATAATAATTTATCTTCAACAGCTGGTCAGCATTTCGTTAACAACAAAAAACAACTAAACGCTTAAACCAATATTGTTAAAACGGTTAACATGCAAACAGTCATTAAGTAAGTTGTCAACATACCCAGGACGTATACGGGTATCACATATATTTAATTTTTCAACTGTTGCATTTTTTGTTATCTCTGTGTCAACTCAATTTCACTTCCCATTCGATTTTACAATACAAAAAAAAACATAAAAAAAGAAAAGGAAAGCTGGGCTTGTTTGAAAACACGTTTTCGATAGTTTGATTTTGGGACTTAAAAACTTGTCTAATTTTTCCTAATCGCCTTTCGGATTTGTATACACCTAAACTGGATTTTTCTTAACGGTTTAATGTTTTACTTTTTAGACTTTTGAAAATGGGTTTTTTGTGTTCGGATTACGTATTTTAAAATTAAGTTATTTTTTATTTTTGATAATATTTTGAGAGCTTTAAAAAAGTTCTTTTAGTTCAGGTTTTTTTAAAACGTAAATATATATAAGTACTTTTTTAATAGCATCGTTGTTAGATCCTAAGATCTGTTTTTCGCATGTTATTTATACATTTTCGTAAACTGTTTTCAGTTATATACTTATATTCTACTGACATTCAATTTGTATATATTCTGAGTTATTTCATTACAATTGAATAACTTTACTTTATTATTGAAAAACTGAAAAGCTGACTAATTGCTTGATGTAAATTGTCACAGGGAGATATAGAGAGTTATATATGTTTGTATGCTTTCCCGGCCTTTTTTCAAATAACTTGATGTAACTAAAAAGCATTTGATGATCAAAATTATTAAGTTTTTTCCAAACTTTACTACTGTATACAGAATTTAAAGTCAAGGTGAAAAATGTTTAAATTAATTACTTAAATATTATAGTTCAAATTAATTTAACATGACTTTTTTATCTGGAATATATATACCAAACTGAACAATTTATAATTTGTTCCCATTGGTGTTTTTTGTAGATTTTCTATTTCCAAATTTTTTTTATACACATCTTTATAGAAATTTGTAAATATTGGTTAAAGCATTAAAATGGCTTGTCTTCAGCTTGAGTACAAGACGCACAATAGAACTCTTTGTCAGAGAAGAAGTAGTAATATTTAACACCTTTGCATTTTTTATAAGAAAAAAAATCATTTAACGGTTATCAGCTTTTGACTAATTCTCAAGAGAGTGTTTATTTGTTATTGCTTTAAGCGGTATTTAGTCCAAGTAAATCAATGCCAAAGCATACACGATCGTGAAGTGAATAGAGTATATTTGCTTTAAACATTGTTGGTCTGGCTTTCTGTCCGTCTGCTTGTAAGAAACTATGTAAATTTGGAAAATTAGTTCGTATGCTTGATAGACTGTTCATATTTTTTGGATACGTGCATTGGGGATGTAGAAAATCGAGAATAACGCCGTTTTAGGGAAGGCAAATTATTTAAAAAAAAATAAGGTCAGTTTTACAGTTAAAACTTTAATTGATATGAATTCACCATGTAAATATCTTGAATTTTTTATGAATATGGTTATTGATTTTTTGCGGGTATTATGCGGTCAGTTGAGCTAGACTAAAACGTACTTATATTCTTTACTTTTTAGTGAAGGCAGTTTCTTTAAGTAAATATATATATATATATATATGTATATATATATATATATATATATATATATATATATATATATATATATATGTATATATATATATATATATATATATATATATATATATATATATATATGTATATATATATATATATATATATATATATATATATATATATGTATATATATATATATATATATATGTATATATATATATGAACTCATTATTTTTGGGTTTTGTTGCATTTGCTCATTTGCTCAAATTGCATAATTAAATGCACGCAGACCTTAACGTGGCCAAAAGCAGCGGCTAGACACAACAGCAACTGCAATTATGGTCAGTCATTTGGCCATGCAACTGCGTTTCTTTGCAACTGAAGGTGAAGCTTGTGGTTGAAATCTGCCACGCCCTCAAGCCCCTCACAGCCAAACCGAGTTGCATACCCTTTAAGCCACATTGGTAAATTCTGCGAAACCTAGACCCTTTCTGTTTTTGGAATATACGATATATTACATGTAAGATGAGATTATCAGCTAATTAATCGCATACGCAATCTTGACTTAGACGTGTAGTAAATATTGACCTACTCAAATCTCAAATCCCACTTTCGTTGAGCGGCCCTAATTGCCACATTTGACACTTGGACCCAGTGAGGAGGTGATTTTCCTATTATTATATAAAGTCTCTAGCTTTTGTGATTTACGATATCGCTGCGTTTCTACGTGCGGACAGGGCTAGATCGACCCAGTTCACATTCATATATTTGTAATCTGTTCAGGGTATACAAATATAAATATTTATATATAAATAAATATATATGTGTAAATATAAATCAAACGCAAAGAGTTATCGATTATTTGAAGTCAACTTTTTATAACTTATACGTTATGAGATCGATGGATTTATACATACGAACATGCGGACAGACAGACAGATAGACAGTCAGACGGACGGATACGGCAAGATCGACTAACCTCGTCGAAAATTTATACACTTTATGTGGTATTCCACGCCTCATTCTGCCAATACATTTTCACAAATGATTTCCGATTTTCTATAAGTTCATGGCTAAAAATCAATACAATATTTAGAAACATAGGACTTTATAAATTAAGAATTATTATTATTATGATTGCTACAAAATTAAATATTAATATCTTAAATTTATCTTATTGATGAAGTACATAATGTAATAAAAATTGTTAACATAATTCTAATTATAATAATAAGGTTAATCACCATGAAAACTCTTTTAAAATCTGATTTTTTAAGAGCAAATTTATTCACATGATATAATTTTTACTATTTGTAGTATTCTTAGAAGTGGTCAGCAGAGTTTTATTTCCAAACTTGGTAATTCTTGTTAGAGGAAAATCATAATTGTTTTTTTTTATTTATTTTTGATTTCATACGATCATATATTTATGGCAACTCTCACTCGGTCTGTATAGGAAGACAGACATTCTAGATATATATAGATTAAATCGTGTTTCTTTCGTGAACGAGTATAATTATCGTAGTTTCTTATTAATATTTAAAGGTTCAGATCTCTTAAAGGTACAAATTTACTACACATTTCTAACTTTAAAGGAATGTGCTCTTATTATGTGATATTCTATAGCTCTGATATAGAACTAAATGTCTTGTAAGTACTGTTTACATTACGCACTAATTATTTGTAATATTTTATTGTTATTGATGAAGAAAAACTTGATTTCTGCGTTGCTGCAATTGGAGACCTTAGCCCAATAACAATTTTCTCGTCATTTATAAAAAAGTTGACCAATAACAAAGGAATAACTTCTTTTTGTACGTAAGCAAATAATTGCATTTATTGAGCTCCAGTCATTTGCGTGCGTTTCTTCCTTATGGACGGTATTAAATTCAAAAGAAGGCCAAAATAAATGTCAAATGCCCAGGTCCAGTCTTGATGCGTAATTGCTGGAAAGTTTGAAGCATTTATCCCCGGTCTTTGACTTCTTGGTGTAATGTCTGCATTACTCACACAGTTAACAAACACACACATTAACAAAAGTGCTTCAAGCCGTTGATTGATGTTGTCAAAGCTCTGCTTCAGCCCAGACTCTGAGGCTCTCTCATTAAAAGACATTATGTTTACTCGTTTGTTTCGCTGATTTGATAAAGCCAACGAGGGCTTGGGTGGCAGTAAAAGGAACCGGGAAGCCGTAGAATCTCGTACGTGATGGAACCACTTTAAAATCGGGCACGCGTGACCTTAACAGCAAATATATTATCTGCGATATGGCTGTGAGTCAACCTTAACATCTGGTATTCAAGATCTCCTTTGATAAAGCAGACGTGATAAGTATAAACGAGTATTAGACTTTGCTGGGTAGCTTTTGAATTTTTAGTGTATTTTCTTTTATACGATTTCAATTTTGAGATTAATAGTTACAAAAGGCTTAAAAATAGTGTTTCTTAAACGTATTGTATGTGTACGTGTACACCTAGTAAGAATAATAAAGTCGGGCGCTGCCGACTCTACAGTAACGTAACTGTCTAATTTTTTACAGGGTGTATTCAACATGCTCTTAGAGAAACGTAGCAATTTTCTTGTGCATTATTATAGAAAGTTAATAGTAACTGTATAATCAAATTTTTAAGTTTCTAGTTCTAGTATTTTTGCGTGTTTAGCTAGAAAGCCGTATAAAATACAATTGTATCTCATTTGCCACGCCTCAAATGTGCAATATATCTATTTGATCTCGGATCATCGCGAGTAGAGCCTTAATTAAAAGCATTATATGTTATACAAGATATAGTATTTCCCGATTTTTCACGTTCAAAGTGAGCGTATCGGAAACACTATAATACCCACGGGTATATATATTTCAAATTTCAATAGCGGCGAAATAGTTTGCGTTATTACGAATAGTCGAATAAGCTCTTTCCGTTCGTGAATGAGTATTATAGTATTTGGTCATTACACACCGATGTTCATCTGGTGCAATTCCATTAATCCCGCCGGGTCAACGTACTTTACGCATGTTGTGAAAAGGTTGGTAAAATAAACTCGTTGAACTCAGTTGCTGATGCACGTGGAGTCTTTAAATTTGGAATATGAAAGCTAAGTAAATATAGTGGGACACTGCGATCAACTAAGAGAGACATTTTATATATATGCATATTTAAACAAAGTATTATATAAGTAAGCCAAGTTCGAATCGCAGTCAAGTAAATATATTATATATGTTGTATATTTTATTTTATACTTTATTTTATACTTAATTTTATACTTACTCGAACAATAACAATAGAAGAAAGCTTCTATGTATAATTAATATATATTTGAGTTCTTCATAAATTATTGCTCACATTCCCCATTAACACTCATACGTTTTGAGTTTCAAGTTATTTTAGTAGTTATACAACATTTTAAGCACACTGTAAACATTTACTAATTTTTTTTTGAGGTCAGCTTGTAAGGCGGAAACTTCGCCGTCGTTTTGGCGTA